GTGGACAGAAGTTGTCGTGATTCAGCTTTTAAATGTTACATTTTAAGGAACTTGCTGAAAGTGGATACAGAAACTTCATAAATGCTTTTGTCTGGGACAACACGGAACCTTTAAGGGTAGGCTCGAAAACGAGAGGGGAAAACAAAGAGTTCTATTGTTTACTTGCTTGGCTAACTTCATTTATTCACCGCATTCAGCCATAGTCAGCATGTGGTTGTTTTCCTCTAGGATTCCCACTTTCCAAAACACAATTTTCAGAAGGTCTCATTTCCTCACAAGGCTCTTTGTATTTAAAAAACAAAACAAAACAAAAACCCAGGAAACCATCACGTGGTTTTGACTGACGGTGATCCCACTTGTCAGGGCAGAGCTGTGCACCATGGGTTTTCCGTGACTGAGTTTCGGAGAGGTCACCAGACCTTTCTTCCAAGGTGCCTCTGAGTGAATTTGAGTCCTCAGCCCTGTCCGTTAGTAGCCGAGCCATAGTTTTGTATCTCCCACCAAACAACTTTTTTCCTGATGGGATCTGGGTAGAGAAGTTGGAGGAAGATACCGATAGGATTATATGATTCTGTTTTGAGTGATTGTCAACAGAGTTCATTGTGACTGCAAAAGCTTAGAACTCTAATGTGAAGGTTGGTCCTTTTTTCCTTGTTTTCTTTTTGGCCATTCCTATTGGGTTTAAAATGAGCCATCTCAAAAACAGGAGATGGGATCTCATCACTATCAAGAAAGGAGAGTCAACAGTGGTGTGTGTCCTTCAGACCCTGAGATTCCTGTGCACGGAACCTCCTAGACCCAGGAGACAGAACGCTGACACTAGATGAGTAGCAGCAGCAGAAATACGAACCAAAGCAGAAATACGCCCAGTGTCAGAGCAGTGGGCGTCCTGACCCATTGAGCGAGTAAAGCTGAGTTTTCAGGTACCTAACTGGAAAGCTGGGCACACTGACTCATGGAGCTAAAACTTAGTGCCTTCAGCTTGAGGCGTATAGCATGTAGTGTGACCTTTGGGCATTTGTCAGCAGTGCTCAAAGAGCTCTGTAATGTTGCTCAAGCAGGCCACAGGCCAGGCGGAAAGGCTGAGGACCAGAAATAAGCCTGCCTGACGCCATGGCAGAGAAGAGGCTGTCCTAACCAAAGAACTCTCTCTCTCTCTTGGACATTTCGAATCTTGAATTGTAACCTATTCACTTCCCTAAGAAACCTCATAGTTGTCGTCGTCGTGGTGAGTTTGGTCTGAGTCTAGTGTGGCCATTGCAGTGTGTTTGGGAATTTAGCCGAACAGCAGAGAGCCTTGGAAAGGCCTAGCTGGTGCCAGACTTGGCCAGATCGGAGAGTGGAGGCCTCTCCAAACCCTGTCTCGGTTAGCTCATGTGGAATCTGACACACTTTCCTCCTTGTGGGTCACAGTCAACTCCATGGCATCCAGTCTGGGTTTGATTTCTTCCTTGTGACGTCAGCGAGCAGACACCAACCACTGCACTTTATTTTTACAGCTGCTCAGGGACACTGGAGTGTTTAGTTACCCTGGTGTTTTTGTCCATTCTCC